CTCTCTCTCTCTCTCTCTCTCTCTCTCTCTCTCTCTCTCTCTCTCTCCCCAGCAGCGAGCCCCAGTTGTGGCCGGTGGGCATGGTTTTGGAGGGCAGCTCAGAGGCACTGTGTCCCCCCCCATCTCTGGAGCTGCGCCCATCCTGCAACAAGAGCCAGCCCTCGCCTCCTCTGGGCTCAAGCTCGCAACCCCACGACGGAGTTTTCCCTGAGGACAAGGAGCCCGTCAAGTACGGCGAGCTCATCGTCTTAGGGTGAGATATTGATAACCGCCACCGACATTTTACAACATCCAACATCCGGTAATCATGGCCTCTCTGTGGCCAGCAGAACATGAATGGAGAGTGTTGGTCATATGGAATAATCAGGGCTGGTGATACTGGATCGCTCATCCGATCTGAAACAAATCCAAGGATATTATATTTTGACTTCCTGTTGCATTAAACATCTTAGAGAGTGACCAGTTTGGTGCCTATTTAAGTGAACGCAATATTCTTTATAAGTACTAGGTTCAGGAAATCATATTCCACAGAGTCTGCATTTGTTGACCTGACTGATCAATTCAATATGGACATTCGAAAGACATTCGATACAGTACATTGTATTCCATAAATGTGAGGCTATTGGCCGTGATAACCTAGCTCAGCAGTTAGTTGGTTGAAATCTTACATAAGTAATCATATTCAGTGTGTAGATATTAATGGCACCTTATCAGATCCAGGAGTGTACACGTATGGCGTTCCGCAGGGATCAATCTTGAGAACAAACAATGGGAACTAACAATCAAAAAAGTAAAAAGGTGCCATCTGCCCATAAGGATACAATTTAAATGCTCATTTACACACACTCGCACACTGATGGCACAGCCTTTGGGAGCTATTTGGGGTTCCGTATCTTGCCCAAGGACACTTCTTCATGTGGACTAAAGGAGCCAGGGCTTGAAATGCCGATCATCATCCGATTAGTGGATGACCCAGTAAATACTCATCATAGTGTGACAAGTAAATTGAGCTTGTGAACACTTGTGAATCATCAATGTGTGTCATAATGTCATAATCATTGACAGGTGTAGTGTTTACATCCTTCTCAGCTAAGAGCCTATCAGCATATCTATCAAGGCAAAGCATTACTTTGTGGGAGTATTTATGGCTGGAATTTGGACAAAGTGAGTAAAAGATAAAGCATGTATCATCCATTTAACCCAGTTATTAACATTATCACAATTAAGTCCATTTTCTTCTTATGCTTCACAGGCACAATGGGTCGCTGGCCAACGGGGACAAGGGTCGCAGAAGAAGTCGCCTGGCCCTCTATAAGAGACCTAAAGCCAACGGGGTCAAACCTGATGTTATCCACAACGTCTCAACCCCTCTGGTGTCAAAGGTGAGTTCACAACACTGATCAACACAGTTGAGGTTGTCATTCAAACTGAAGAGGTGTTTTCCCTAAACCAGGTAGAAAGGAACCAGGTTCTATATTATTACTATATTATTATTATTATCGAAAAATCTATTTAAAACTGTCTATTTCTTCTGTAACACATTTCTTTTCTTCTTTTTTTACATTGGAATTTTATACTGAGGTATTAGAGTGAAGCTTAGAATGTTGTGATATTTTATGATGTCATCACCCTTAAAAGAAATTGGGAAAAGAAAAGATTTGTGGTTATTGTGGTTATAGAAATGTACTTTATGTGCTCTTAGGGTGCTGCTAGGACTATTTTGTATATAGAAACATGTTGTGAGTTTTGGAACATTTATCTTATTTGAATGCCTTTTTAAATATTTGTTTACGTTTGGACTTTAATATTAGTGGAGCCTCGTCTTTATCTGCAACTGTGAAGAAATATCTGCTCTAAACACAATGAATAGACATGCACGAAAAAAGAAAATGCAACATTTGAATGTGGATGATGATATGATAATCAGTCATTTTATGTAGAGCTAGCATTGTCCCTCTAGAACAGGAAACGTCCTCTGGTAGATTGTGCTGGAGGCCAGCTCTCCTTGTCATGTGACCTGGATAATGTATTTTTCATTGGCAGGCACTCAGCAACAAAAGCCAGCACAGCATCTCCTACACACTGTCACGGAGCCACTCTGTCATTGTGGAGTACACCCATGACACCAACACAGACATGTTTCAGGTCAGTGTTTCCACACACACACACACACACACACACACACACACACACACACTTACAAAAAGCATGTGCACATGTGCCGTGCCAACATATTGTAAGCTGTTTTGCTGAGTTGCCTCCTAGTGAAAAAACTCTGAGTGACCTTGAGTTCCTCATGGTAAGCAAGGATGCAGCGTTTGGGTCTGGGGCTTTTATTGTGAAAGGTAAGAATGGAAGGAGCAATGGTGCATTCACGTGGAATCAGGCCTTTTAGTGGGCGACAGTAGGACGGTGAAATTAGGCGAGGCTATTCCTTTGTCTTTCAGATTTAAGTATTTAGTCAAACAGTAGCTGAAGCTGTCGGGCCTGTAGAGCAGTGAGGGCATCGGGAATGAAGAGGAAGCGCCGGAGTGAAAGCATCGGGCAGAAGGAGGGAAGACAATAGACTGAGGAGATCAAACATACAGGAGAAGATGAGTCAGACCTCGTCTGCTCTCAGTAACTCACAGTTGTTTTTCCAACCACCTTCTCTCCACTTCAAGGAGATCCATACAAAGCCGTGACTCCAGCAGACACGATCAACAGCGCTCCATGTCTGTCTGTCTGCTGTCTGCTGTGTTTAAGGGTCATGTCACCCACATGGTTTGTTCTGTCCATCTTTATAGACATGCTAGATATGTTTCTTCCTCCGCCTGGATACAACCGAGGCAAATTGAATTCAGATTACGCTGCGCATAGTATTGGAAAATTACATCAATGACTTTCTTCAGTTCAGCAAGACGTTCAGCCGAATGTTGGGTCGTTCTTGCTAAACTGTTGGTTTTCTGCTGCATGTTGCCAGAACCAATGGCCAGTGCTACCAAAAGAAAACCCAAGAAATGTTTCAGCCTATTTATAATGAACTGGAATGACTTTAGATTATTTGTGTTGGTACTGGTCATTCTCATCAATCATACTGTTTCTAATTGGGGGAGGTGTGGAAACTGACCAAATTGAACAAAAAGTAGCCCAAATGATCTCAAAAAGCACAGAACAGCAACGCTGTGACACAATGGCACGTTTAGTCACCATTGAGGGAAGCTACAATTTAAAAGAAGAACTGATTCAGTCAATGACATGGATGATTTAGATTCAGAGACAACCACCGCTAATACGTGCATGGCTAGATATGTCATTGTTTTATGATATCGATTCCTCTCTCTGGGTTCTCTCAGATTGGTCGGTCCACAGAGAGCATGATCGACTTCGTGGTGACGGACACGGCGGGCAGCGGTAGCGGTCAGGGCGGGGGCTCAGCGGGGGAGGGCGGCGGCGGAGGCCAGTCTGCCCAGAGCACCATCTCCCGCTATGCCTGCCGCATCATGTGCGAGCGCAGCGCTCCCTACACGGCCCGCATCTACGCCGCCGGCTTCGACTCCTCCAAGAACATCTTCCTCGGGGTGAGTGTTCTTCTCCCTCGTGGGCGCCAGGCCTCTCCTGGCAAAAAACGCTCGGGGACCGGTAACCACGGTAACCGTGGTGAGAGCAATATCAGGGACGTGACTTTGCCGCCCAAGGGTGACATCATAGCTGTGAGGATGGGTGTCAATGTATGTGACCTGGCCCAAGGAAGCCTGGGAGAGGAAGGAGCACTGTTCTCCACGTGTGTGTATGTGTGTGTGTGTGTGTGAATGTGTGTGTGTGTGTGTGTGTGTGTGTGTGTGTGTGTTTGTGTGTGTTAATATGCTGCTTCTGGTCATATGTAACTGTCTCAAGCTATTGGAGACGTGTCAGTGAACATACATCATGTTATAACATATAGTGCATCAGTACATACTGTACACTGTATTTGTGTCGCTGTAGGTAATAGACCAAATAGCTCAGTCTTTCCTAACTTATTTAGTTCCTCTGTTAGATAATTGAGATCTGTTTACGACCGGCTCGCTCATTTCTCACCCTGTTGGACCTATTTTTAGCGACTTAGCTGCGCTCCTCCGAGCTCTTACTTCAATGGGAAGACCCCACTTGGAATGAACCAGAATTAACTTGAAATAGAAAGGAGCGCTCCGCTTATGTTCATTAACGCGGGACAGTTGTGGGCCGTCAAGCCGACTCAGCAGTCCTCCGCTTGGGCTCCGTCTTGCTGTATCTCCAGTTCAGTGAGTCTGGAGCCTTACCTCGCCACAGAGTCTCGCTTACAGCTAGTAGCCATTTATGAAAACCCCAACCCTAACCCATCTGAATGTTGGAATGGCATTTTAAACATGTTTTCCAATGAACTAAACAGAGAGTAGTTATTTCCCCCTGTACTGTACTCAGTTATCAGACTCTTTGATATGAAAAGCTTCTATACCTCTGTGGATAGCTGGCAGGGCGGGGCGGTCTAAAACGTGACATCGAGGTGCACCAAAGCCATGCAAGCAAATAACAGCCCTTTCTCATGATTGCATGATGTCATCCCATGCAAGATTCATCAGGAACCCCGACAACTAGGTCAGCAGTCAGGGAGATAATGTCAGCAACCAGTACTCAGCTCAACACACACACACACACACACATCATCCACCAGCCATCAGGACTACATTCACGCTGATGTACGGAACAAATGTTGTCCTTTTTATTAAAAGTCAGGCTCTGAGGTTCACCTCTGAACTGTTTGATGGATGGGATTATTGTGTAATTGATAAATAATGCCTGACAATTTTCAGTCCTTAGGATTTCAGTACTTCCTCCTCCGTCAGACCCTTCCGGTCCTAAGCTTGGAGGAGGAAGTGACACACATTTCCTCTGTCACACACTCTGAGGCTGTGATCAAATGATGAGTCCACTACATAAACTGTAAATAAGAAGTTCACCCATTGGTTTGTGGAATGTCATTTTGAAGCCTCGAGTCTGGTGATTTTGCCATCGCCATCTTGGATCACGGCAGTCGCCATTTTGTGTTTTTTCGCAACCAATGAACAGAAGTTACCAAATTTGGAATGCAGAGGAGTGACGTAGAGACGCCGTATACGGCTCTGATAGCAGCAGCGACCTTTCAATCACAGTAAGCCCGCCCTAAAGCATGCCCTGCTTTATGGTCTGTTTGACTCTAAATGAACCATCATTTACTAAATGAACATCATGCTGTATTGAAGAAGACTTGAAACTAGAGATTGAGACCATAAACTCATGTTTACAATGTTTACTGAGGGAATAAATCTAGAGAGAATTAGAGTCATTTTCTCATATACAATCAGAGGAGTCACCCCCTGATGTTCAGTAGAGAGAATGCAAGTTGTAAGACACTTCCGCATCAGCTTCACTCAGCAGAACCGGAGGATGCCGACTGGTCCACTAGTGCTGTTTTTATTTTCGTGTGGACGGTGCACACAAGCCTCTCTCTTTACTCACCGTCTCATGTCCTCAACCCTCAGTGTGAAAGAGTGTAGATGTACCTCAAAGTCCCGTTTCCCGGACGGTGTTTTTAGGCTGCTGTCTCCGCCCGTTACAAAGCGCCTCTCCGGCAGTGCCCGGCTGCAAACCTATGTGTAATGCAGCCTGCGGCCCTAACCCCTCGTCATAAGCAAGGGCGGAGAGGGCTCTTGCTTGGCTCGGCTCTAAGACATTTCTCCGTTCTCGGCTGAGATGGACGACATAGCGCTGCAACGCCTTTCTTTTGGTTTAATTTAAGGCATTAATTTTAAAGAGATCTGTTTTTCTACAGTATATACATAACTTACAAAAAAAAATTTGGATCCGCCTCTCACAAATTGGAATCAAATTGCATACCCACGCATAACGGGTTCACAGAAGTAATGCATGGAGGTACTCCACCTAATGCAGAAGACACAAGCTGGGCATTTGAGTTCAGTATTACCATGTTGAGACGAATACATCTTTCTGAAGTCCTCAATGTGCTTCAAACTAAGTCCAGTCCAACAATCCCACCCACTTTACGCTGAGACCCAGCTAATTTGAAGCACACTGAGGCCTTTCGTCTTCTTTATTAAAGCAACACGACATGACATTTATCCTCTCAGCTGCTTTCTTGCTGGTCTTCTGTTTTATTTCTGGCACATATACAGCCTCAGGCAGTGTGTCCTGCTGTCTGCCATAGTCAGACAGCCCCTTGTGATACCATCACAAGGGGCTTTAAAGCCAGGCAGGGGATTTTCAAATGCAAAACAAAGATTTTGCCAAATTATAACACACACCTCTGACCCACAATATTACACTGCTAGCTACTACGACCCATAAGCCAAACAAGTTTAGTTTTTAACTTGTAATTAATTTCAGCTCTGGTTTTGGTCTCCACCACCTCCTGAGAAAAAGATCTGTCTGTTTAGCTGCTAAATGCTCCACTATGTTAAACAGCTAGTCTCTGAATGTGTCTTGTCTGTTGTTTGGTGCAGAGCAGGTAGAGTACGGTGGCTTTATCAGAGCTTTTTCGCTTAGCTAAGCTGATGAGAGTAGGAGACTCAACCCAAATAGTACAATTGGGACCTATAAAAACCAAAACAATGAGCCGAAAGAGGCTAAAAACAAAGTGCAGAGTTGGTGATAATTCATCTCTACGGGTTTGTCTTTACAAGTGACACCTTTCACATTACACAGCCATTTGACCCAATGTTCATATGGTGTAATAAGAGCAGCTTTAAAGGACCCATGTGTAGGATTTAGTTGCATCTAGCAGTGAGGCTGCAGATTGAAGAGCCAGTGTTTGGTTTGTCCATTCTGGGCTACTCTAGAAACATGGCGCACTCTATGAAAAGGACGTGCTTCCTGCCGATATATGATGGGCTCATTCCAAACTAAAGAAAACACAACGATTCTTAGTTTCAGGTGATTATACACTTTGAAAACATAGTTATGAATATTATATTCCATTTTTGCAAAAGGTTTTTTAGCCTTTTTAACATTAATGTTGAACACATTCAGTGAAATTCTTCTTTCCTCCAACAGCTTCAAAGAACTTAATCTCATGCGTTTCTTTTACTACTGCCTCTGCCCTTTCATAGCTTTTTTTTTTTTGTGAAGCTACACACTGCAGAAATTTGCTGTTTCATTCCATCGGAGCTAATTTGTGTTCATAATACATCCTTTCTTTCTCTCAGGGATGGGTTCTTTCTCAAGTGTGGGCGCATCGCCGTGCATTAGTCAGTACAGTAGTCATTCTGTACTGAGCTAAATATAGCAGCAGAGAACGTTAGCTGTTCTTCTAGCCAGCCACCTCTGACATCTACCTCCCCTATCATCCCTCTGTGCCTCTAACTTTTACGTCTGCCTGTTCCATGTGTATTGGTGTGTCTCTCAGGAGCGCGCTGCCAAATGGAGGACGTCGGATGGCCTGATGGACGGCCTGACCACCAACGGGGTGCTGGTGATGCACCCGGCGGGGGAGTTTGTGTCTGAGCCTGCTCCGGGCGTCTGGAGGGAAATCTCTGTTTGTGGAAACGTCTTTGCCCTGAGGGAGACTCGCTCAGCCCAACAGAGGGGAAAACTGGTAAGATGAAGAGGGCTGACGGAAAAATGACTTGTATGTTTTTTCCGATATGGTCACAAAGTTTGAAGCTACTAAACATGATATGACCTGCAGGGATTTCTGTAGAAATTGGTTCCTTAATGTAATGTAAGGAAGTGAACATCCTTGTACTGCAGAACCTGGCTGCCCTATATACTTTGCATTATTTTAAAGAAGGTAGGAAATTAAGCCCTCTATAATGCTGTAGAATCTTGTCCCTTTTCCCTATTGGTGTGAATGTCAGCAGGACACTAGCTTCTGGATTTTGAATCAATTCGTCACCACGTCCAGACATTTCCTGACGGGAACCGAGTTATTATAAACCACGCAGTTACCGCAAACGTGTGAACTCCGTCGATACCAGCATGATCACATTGCATCATAAAAAAGAAAAGTCTTCGCTGAGCTTTCCTCGAGCTCCCACGATAGGAGACAGTTATACCCCAAAAGTCTGTAGGTCCCTGCTCAGGGGTCAGTGGCCACTGGCACTCATACAGCCCACCACCACTTCCTTCAAGTTGTTCACTGCTCACCAGTATACCTTCAATATTGTTAGAAATCAACCCACAAAGGCAGTGTCATGTGCAAATTGAAACAACTTGATGGGGAGTCTTTGTCTGAAGTGAGTCCAGCAGTAGGAGTACTGCTGCAAATGACCGGAGACGTAGAGAGCCTTGTTGTCGCCTTCAACCACGTGCATCCTCTCCTGCAAGAAGTCAAACTGTCACAGGATACTATTCTTAATTGTCAATTCGATCTGTAAATGTGATGCGTACATGTTGATGATGATAGTGTTTTGAGGGAAGCCACTTACAATAGATGAGTGTCAACAGTCTGAACCCTAACTAGTGCAGCACAGTGCCATCATGTGGTGCTACGGAGGGGAACTGCTACAAGTTGTCCCCAGTTTAACGAACCCTTCCAGTGTGGCCCATAACCAATCACTGCGTCTTCTTCTTCTCTTTCCCCTACTGTTTCCATCTTCTGTTCTCCTCTCGAGGTGGAAAATGAGTCAAACACCCTCCAGGACGGCTCTCTGATTGATCTGTGTGGGGCTACCCTGCTGTGGAGGACCCCCGCCGGACTGCGCCACACCCCCACCCTCAAACAGCTGGAATCCCTTCGCCAGGAGCTGAACGCCGCCCGGCCCCAGTGTCCCGTGGGCTTCAACACCCTGGCCTTCCCTAGTCTGGCCCAGCGCGAGATCGTCGACAAGAAGCAGCCCTGGGTCTACGTCAACTGCGGCCACGTACACGGCTACCACAATTGGGGCTATCGCAAGGAGAAGGGTCCCGCCGGCCCCGGGGGTACGGCACCAGCCAGCACCGGGGAGAGGGAGTGCCCCATGTGCCGGCGAGTGGGCCCCTACGTGCCGCTGTGGCTGGGCTGTGAGGGAGGATTGTACCTGGACGCCGGGCCGCCTACTCACGCCTTCTGCCCCTGCGGCCACGTATGCTCAGCAAAAACAGTGGTGGGGTGGAGCCAGATCCCGTTACCCCACGGCACCCACGCCTTCCACGCTGCCTGCCCCTTCTGTGGTACCTGGTTGACAGGGGAGCAGGGCCACATCAAACTCATCTTCCAAGGCCCCGTTGACTGAGGATACCCGGGAGCCACAAAGTGATGGTGGACCGGTGAAGAGGTGGACACGCAGAGTAAAGACCGCGTGCTAGAACAAAAATCTGAACACTCAAGTGTTGGACGAAAGAGAAAGCACCAATGACAAATACAAGAAAAGGACAGCTGACATGATGAACTGAATGTGCCATGCAATTATAGACTGACATGGCTTTAAATGGAATATGAGGTGTGTGGAGACTATGTAAATAAATTGTGTTGAAATGAGCAGGTGTTAGTGATCTTTTGTTCTTCTCTTTAAGTAACTGCTCAGCCCGTCACATCATTTGACTGCACGACAGCAACACTAAAAAGAAACAAAAACCATGTTGGAAGCCGACTCAAACGAAGGTGAAAACAAAGGCGAATGGTAAAATGATTACCAAAACTGTCCAATGTAGAGATTGATCCCAATTTAAAGGTGACCTGTGGAATTTTCTCGTAAACAAGCCTCTTAAAACTATTTTAAATCAAGCATTGTTTACAAGCTTGCAGTCTTCTTCTTCACTGTCTCTGTTGGCATACTGCAGTATATCTCGGTGTGTTGCTGCCACCTGTTGACCAGTGGAAAGTGTGAAACCACTGGTGTGTGTGTGTGTGTGTGTGTGTGTGTGTATACACCAGATAAACAAAATGGGGACCTGCTAAAAAAAAGCTCCATAGTTTGACTAGTGGTCTAGAAGTCAACAGTGAATCTTGAAGCAGGAATTATAACATCTTCACCATGAAAGGTGTAACATTTATGCTCTGCGCGTCAAACAAAAGTGATCCCAAGAGTTAGGAGTTGGATTCAAAAGTATAAAAGAAAACAGCTGTGTTGTTGTTTTTTCAGCTCTAACACACCGACGTCCTGCTTCAGCTTGGGCAATTTCTACGACATCAACCATTCTTTGATGTGCGCGCAACATTTCCAGGTATACTCTTAGCACGTAACTTGGTGATCGCAATGCTATCATAACTGCTAGAAATGATTTTGAACAAACTTTTAAAAAAACTGAATTATCCTTAAAGCACAACATCGCAGTCACAAGGCTGCTCTACATATCTCCATCAGCTTGATGCCTCTCTCCCTATGAGAAGCCCTTCTCACCGTAGTAGCAGCCGGCACGCACACGTGTACGTGGCTACGTAGGGGAGAGCGAGGGTAATGTGAGACATTTTTTACATTTGTAAACACATAGGCGAGCTAAAATGATATACCAGCAAAATTTACACATTTCCCATTAATTCAGGATGTTTCCTATCAATGGAAATGATCAGAATGTCTTCAGGACAAAGGTCAGTGAAAATATGATTGTTTATAAAAAAAGTGGTCTTGTGTCTCACTTTACCCCAGCTTAGGGGTAAAGTGAGACAGACCAGAGAAATCAAGGGGGTAAAGTGAACCAGCTGGGGGTAAACTGATCCACGTACTTTTTCCACTTTAAAACTACCATAACAACACATGTTGTAACAGTTACAATCCTGACAGCTAGATTGACAACCACACATTCCAAAACTAATATCGGACTAGTAACAGAATCATGGGGATTGGTCAATTAAGCACATTTTTTCAAACACTTGAAAGTAACTCCGAACAAAATCATATACAACATAATATAATTCAAAATATTTTAATTAACATTCAAATGACAGATAGAACCAGTTAGATTAGAACACAGTCATGGGACCATAATCAGAACCAGCTAGAACAGCCTGGGACTCGACCCACCTGGATTAGAACATCAGCCTCATACTCTATAACAAGACCTACTCTACATTCCAGCTGCTCTCTCCGTGTGGTTCCTCCAGGCCTATTTAGATGGGGACGTGCTAGGAAGCTGCCAAACCACTTTCTCCTAAAGAGTAGAGAATTCATTATTATAAGATTTAGCTTTGTGGCAAGATCAGTTGGCCTAAGTTAACCTACAGAATCATGTGATCTCTTGCACACCCTAGCCTACCTGCACATTGTTTCTCTGTCCAATTGGCAGGGACAGGGATATAGTTTTTCTCTGCATATTCAAATGCAAGTTCACGGCACTTAACTGGAGCAAGGCCATGGAACTGGTCAGCTAGTTGTTTCAAGTGTTTGGCAAGCTCCTCCTCCATCTCATCTGTGAATATTCTCTTTGCCTCAGCTACTGCACCCCAGGCTACTGATTTTACTTCCGCCTTCTCTTTTTTCTTTATGAATCTTTTCAGGGTTGTCTTGTCAATATTTCTATCCCTTCCAGCTTTTCTTAAGGACTTCTTTCCTTGCATGACCTCAGCGGCTGCACTCGCCATCTCTGCAAGGGGTGTTTGGCCCCAGGTTGTCTTCCTGGTGTAGTTTCTTGGCATGATGGCTTTTCTACAATGTTTATGACATTAAAAATGAAACATATGTAATGTAATATCACACGAAAATATGTTTAAGACTAAACTTAACTTGTGCTATTTTAGAAAAAACATCTCTTAGCAATTCAGGCTAATCTTCAGCTAGCATCAATCTATGTAACATATATGGTTTTATATGTTGGAAGTTCATCAACATGTATGATATAAGTTTTTCTACCTGAATCAATTTGCTTTGACACAACAGTTGATTAAGTTCACAGCAAGAAAATTTACTTTTACATGCAAAACATACTTACCACAGCACCAGCACCAACTTCTCCTTCATGACAAGGGGGGAATGGGAGGGGCTTGAAAACATAATGGTCACATGACCACAAATGTGTTCCTTTGCCTAGATACAGGGGGTGTCTCACATTACCCCGCTCTCCCCTACTCCATGGAGTGTCTCTAAGCCTTTGCTCACAGTTTGCAGCGCCCCGTTGAGCTAAAAATAACTCAAGGTCACCGAGCATCCCGGGCCTCCCCACCGGGGTGGGGGTGGGAGACGGACAGCTCAGGAGAGCTGCACGTTACCTTTTCAACACCTAAGGAAATGTTGAACAAAACACTAAGAAAACCTTCAATTTGTCCAGATTCAAGAGCTCCACAAGGAGCTGCACCTTTACACACACCTCCAACACTTGATGTAGGTGCACATGGTTGCATATTCTGGATCGGATGTGAGCACATACTGCTTATTATGTGATATCTGCTGAAAAGGTCGCGCTGCAGAGCGGATGCAGAGGGCAGCTGCGATCCCACCCAGAGCTGCCGCAGGGTTTTGTTTAGTTTTTTAAAATCGGTGCCAGACCCCCGAACAACAACTGGTCAAATTCAATGTCAGGTATCTCTTCATTTGCCCTCCGTTTGACACAGTGATGTACTACACACGATCTGCTGTATGTGTGTATGTATGTGTGTGTGCGTGTGTGTGTGTGTGTGTGTGTGTGTGTGTGTGTGTGTGTGTGTGTGTTTTTAAACGCTCCATGGAGAGAGGCAGGGGTACAAATCAAGGGCGGCCACCATGTGGGTGACAGGCAGCCGGGGGAGATCTAGTATGGTAGCCGGGGTAACGGATGGTTCCTGCGGTGGCTCCAGCAGACAGCAACAGTGCACTCCTATGGAGAAGACGTACTGTATGTGTGTGTGTAGGAAACGTCCCTAATAACTGTCATTATAAATCATTACAATCTTAGATATCGGTCAATGTGCAAGATATCTCAACAAGTACTGGCCAGGTTGACGTAAGATCTGGAATGCATGGTTACGGTCTCATCAGCACCAAAATATGGAACTTTTGTGTGACTTGATATGAAAGTTGCCAGGCAGCAGCTCCCCCTGCTGTCTAACACAGTGTCTGTTTCCATGCTACCACTATGATGTTCACTCCCTACACCTGTGCTTTACTGTTGAGGCCTTCAAAATCATTTCATTTTCACATTTTCATTGTTTCCCACATTGATCCCATGAACAGAGAAAATAACGTGTTTTATTACAGGGGTGTCAGGCCGTCAGTAAGTGGGAACAATTTGCAACCAAATATCAAGTATGGATTATTATAATTGGGAAACTTTTTTTATTTTCATTTAACCGTTTTATGATGAGGGATTTTAACACAGAAAGGTCGCTACCCAAGTAAAGCATTTCCCACACAGTCACACCTCACACCACAGTGCTCCATAGGTAGACCTACAGAACAGAATGAGGTATACAGTAAATGGAATATTGTCTGTTGAATCAGTGAATATTAACATTTAATAAATAATTGCTGTGCTTGGGCTCTGCTGCGTAAACACCAGTCTTCACAATATTATACAATTAGCTTTGGCCATAAACACAAACTTAGGCCATCACTATATGTGCACCTGTAAGTATACTGTAGATAATATTACTATTATTAATTTTATCAGCTGCATCCATCCCCCCCCCCCCCGATTTCCTTTCATACATTTTTAAATAAATAATACGAGCGCAGACGGAGCGAGCTTATGGAGCCAAATCCAGGCCAATAGTTTTGATCATTTGAAAAAAATATTGAAACTGAAAGTTCACACTTTGGTCTTATTTGCACTTATTTTTAGTTTGAATAAATTGTTCAAGACCAAAATTTGAACTTTCAGCTTTTTGTTTTTCTCCAATGATCAAAGCTATTGGTCTGGATTTGGCTCAATATGCTGGAGAATGTAGAGACGGACGCGTTTGTGCTCTATGCGCTGCATTGTTCTCTGAAACGCAGGAGGACGGACAAAAAAAATGTAACATTCCGAGCTGCAGTGTATGAACACCATCGGCTTTTATCAAACATAAATCAAGATGCATTTTACTCTCAGTCACGCACACTCGCACCATTTTCAGCAGAAGGGGTTTTCATTCTGAAACAGGATACATTTTACTGAAGCAACAATAAACACAATGTTTCTTTTTGATGTCTTAATATTTAGGTTCAAAATATAATGTAGCTTATATTGCTTATATTAAGAATGAACCAATTATAGCCGGCCTCCATGTCCCCAATCCCCTTTAACGGCTGGGCCCTTGAAAGCTTAACTCATTTTGTTGGAAATTATATTGTCCCAGAAAAAATTGAAATATTGTTATTTTAAGACATTTTTTATGCCACATTTTGGGAAATGTAGGATCCAGTGTTTTTGGAGCTTGACCCCTATCAGGGAGGAGTCAGGATATGTTTCACCTCATTGTTGTTTTTCTTTGTTTTGGGAAGTGTAATTCTGAACTACTAAAGGGTTCCTTTACAATCACCAAAAATGTTTATTCCTGATTTATAGAATTGAAAAAATCATATGAGCCTCAAATTCATTCTGACACTGATCCTGACACATTGATCCTATTAGACTGGATTATCATCTTTTGGTATAATTGGTATAATTACTTGATACCAACTAAGTTGTGTTAGAGACGTTTACATGTGCCACAGATTATACCACACAGTATATGTCCTGTTGCTCTTATCTCTCCTTATCCTCAGTGTCTTGTTCTACGACTGTGTATTTGGACCAATGGAGGTAAACAATAATAATTAGTGGCTGTGGATGGTGGAAATATTCGTGGAGAAAACTTGATATTCTATTATTGTTAAGGTGGCAAATTCCTTGACAAAATGTTTTCTTGGAGATTTGTGGAGTATAATCATTTTTATTATAATTATTGATATATATACAAAAAATGTTTAGACACTCAGCAGGGAGACAGAAGGTGACTGACAGGTGAGCCCCGCACAGTGCTTTTTTATTACAATGTATTCAACAATATTATAATATATTTATATTTGTTGGTTTTCCTCTAAAGCAGGGGTCTCAAACTCAAACTTTTTTTTTTTTTTTTTAAAGTTAGACTTGATAATAAAAATATCCTCATAGTCGAAATTATGAGATAGAAAGTCGAAGTTAGGAGATAGAAAGTCATAACTATGATAGAAAGTCATAACGATGAGCTAGAAAGTCAAAATTATGAGATTGAAAGTCAAAATTATGAAATACTTAAACACACAGTCACAGAAGTAGCTCTTTGGCTGGTTACTGTACATTTGACATGGAAATGTATTGTGAGTACATTGAAGACTACTTTAAATGTGGCTTTAAAACACATGAAATACTTCACATGGGATTGTGCAAACACACCCTTGAAAGGATTTTAAGCTTTGAACAAAGTTATTGTAATAACTTGTGTTTGATATTTGTCTTTGTTATTTTCTTTAATAGTTTGATCTTTGATAAAGTAATGTGGGTTTCTTAACCCTAAATTAAAAGGATTTAAGTTACAATAACAAATGTGCTTAAATATATTTTACATTTATATAACTGCATGTACAATATTTTTACACTTGAATAAACAATAATCAAATGCAGAGAGTTACTTAATAATATGTTACGAGTAGTTACATTTACAACCGGCCCTTTGTGGGCGACCATGATGCTGATGTGGCCCGGAGTGAAAATGAGTTTGAGACCCCTGCTCTAAAGTGACTGCTTTCATCTCAAAGAATATCAAAGTTTTTTTCTCATAATGTTTTTTACTTTAATCTCGGATTAAATCTCTTCAATGTCACGGTGACATTTGACTCCCACATTCTAACCCTCCCTGGGTCCCGGTGGACATTAAAGGCCCCCCCCCCCCCGGTGTTCCTGAGACATCGGGTCCACGAGAGCTTTGACAACACGAATATGAAGTGAAAGGTTCGGCCCCTCCCCCATGAACCCATGACAACAATACCAGACCAGCTCTCGTGTTGACGTTGATCTTTTCATCATTTTATTATATATAGTATATTTATAATATGTACAGAAAGAAAAAGAAAACAAAAATATGATCAAACTCAGCAGGGAGACGGCACCAAAGTGAACAAGCTGAACAGAAAAGAAGAGAGAAGGTGACTTGACAGGCGAGCTCCTGCCCGGTGCTTTTTATGAACAAACACCACCTAGTGAGTGCCTTCATTAAGCCTTTGAACAGCGACGGACAACGTGTGCAAATGATGTGGAAAAATACCCCCTTTCAAAACCGAACCGATACAAAAAGTGAACTTAAGGAGAAAAGTGTTTTGTTTCATCAGAATCACATTCATATGCAAAAGCCCCACCCTGCGTCTCTTTGACCCCGCCCTCACAGGAGACCCGCCCTACCCAGCGCCCCCTCATACTTCTGTGGACTAAACGACACAGAGTAGTATTCAATGAATACATTAAAACCAGTAGAATAGCAAGACTTGTTGAAACAAAGATTTAAAAAAAAAAAAAAAAAAAAAAAAAAAAAAAAAAAAAAGAGGAAATCAGTCATCAAACCCTAAAACATCCGGTGTGTGTGTGTGTGTGTGTGTGTGTGTGTGTGTGTGTGTGTGTGTGTCGAGTTTCAAACGATTGCTTGTTTTGCATCTACTCAAGTGAGACTGCCGGGATGCCAACATGTGTCCAAAGAGCTCAGGAATGTTACACGCTAACCCCACACATACGCACGTGCGCATACACACACTTACTGCTGGTTCCTTCCCTCCCCCTCAATTTCAGATTCCAGTCCTGCACAGCAAACAGCATTTCTAGTTTAGCTCAACAGGGCTGAAAAACACAAGGCTAAAAATACATCTGATGACAATGATGCCACCAGTCTCTCACTCACACACACACACACACACACACACACACACACACACACACACACAC